TATCACCTCATTTTGACTCCAAGACTCCATCTTTATGTTTAATAATATTTATTATAAACAAATTGATGGAGTAGCAATGGGGTCTCCTTTAGGTCCTGCACTGGCTAATGCTTTTTTGAGTTTTCACGAAATAAATTGGCTTGATAATTGTCCTTCGGCTTTTAAACCAGTCTTGTACAGGAGATATGTAGATGACACTTTTTTGTTGTTTAGGGACCAGTGTCATATTGAGAAATTTAGAGAGTATCTTAATGCACAACATAGTAATATACGGTTTACTGCAGAGTGTGAAGTTGATAATTCATTGTCGTTTCTTGATGTAAAAGTGAATAACCTCAATGGGTTCAACACTAATGTTTTTAGGAAACCAACCTTTACTGGTTTAGGTTTAAATTTTAATTCCTTTGTTCCTGATATTTTTAAGAAAAATGCTATTAACACTCTACTGAATAGGGCCTTTGTTTTATGTTCTAATTGGAATAACTTTGATCAGGAAATTAATTTTCTTGTGAAATTTTTTTCAAATAATGGTTATCCTGTGCATATGGTTTATACTTTTATAAGGAATTTCTTAAATAAGAAGTTTCACCCATCGTGTAGGATTACTACAGTGGAAAGGGATCTTAAATATATTAAATTACCATTTTATGGCAGTATTAGCTTTTCTGTAAGGAGTCGTTTGAGGAGACTGTTGCAGCAGTGTTATCCTCAAGTAGACTTTAGATTTATTTTTGTCAACACAAATACCATAGGCTCTTATTTTAAATTTAAAGATAAAGTGCCTACCCCCTTGTGCTCAAATGTCGTATATATGTATAATTGTTCCAGCTGTAATGCTGGATATGTCGGGAGTTCCATTCGGAACTTTAAGATTAGGATACTTGAGCACCGGGGATTATCTTTTAGGACTGGATTACCATTGTCTAAGCCAGCATTTTCGGTGATTAGAAACCATTGTTATCAGTTTGATCATTCTCTGCTGGAATCTGATTTTAAAATTCTGGACACTTGTATGAATGGCCAGTCAGATTTGAGAGTAATGGAATCCTTATATATAAAGGAGCTGCGGCCTCTGTTAAATAGCAACCTTTCAGCTGTTCAATTGTACACTGTATAGTGCACAGTAGGCCCTGTAATTTGATTTTTAGTTTATTTTGGTAGTTTAATTTTGTTTAGTTTACCATGTCTTTGCCCTTTCTTACTTATTTCAAGTCTTAACATTGTACATTAATATAATCTTTTATTTAGGATATATAATACATTTTTTGGTATTTAATTTTATTTAATATTTGAGTTTTTTATATGATTTTGGTTTGTACTTTATAATTGTCGTTTATTCTGCTTGTATTTTACATACATTTTTTGTAGATTTGTAGTCATTATATAAATATTTGTTATAGTGTTTAGTATCTATGTGTTAGGTATCAAGTTTCACTTCTGATCACTTCACGTAAGTTAATGGAATGGTTTGTTTTAGTAGTTATAAATTTCATCTTGTAGTTAATGGATTTTAAATTAGTTTTAATATATGTGACAGTTAATAAGTTTTATTTGTATTGATCACTTTAAGTGCGCTTAAGTGTTTTGTTTTTTAAGCATTTTCCTTTCTTTGATAGGCAATTATATTCAGTATGAGTTCTTTGTTTACCAGCTATTTGATTGTGATTTCTGTTTTTTCTTTTAGATCTGATGATGAATACGAGAAGTATTCGAAACGTTATGTTTTTTAAAGTAAAGATTCTGATACAAGATGTTCAGTATATCCCTGGTTTTCCTATTCATTAAAATATATATATATATATATATATATATATATATATATATATATATATATATATATATATATATATATATATATATATATATATAAAATGTGTGTGTGTGTGTTTTAAGTGGGAGTATCTCAGCGATCACCGTTATTAACTGACGACAATGCAGATTATAGTCAAAAAAATGTTTTTTGCTTCGTGGAAAACAGAGAATGAGAGCAGACAATTTTCTGGAGTGGGGTAGAATGGGGGTGGGATGGAACAGAAAGGAGGAGCGAGGGAGTGGTATCATGTGTGAGGTGTGGCTATCCATTCAGATTATCGCAGAAGTCGTGAGGGGGTCTTGGGTTTGAGGAGGCATAGACACCCTATCATTGGTTGTCGTTCTTCAGGAGGGGAGAGAGAGAGAGACTGCCCCGACGGAGACCTCCACGTTATACTGAGAAATATGTATCAGCTGTGCGCCTGATATACTAGAGTGTTGGTGCGTGAGGTGAGCAAAGATGGACGGTTATTAGCTGCGGTTACTTCACCACGTTGTGCTGCGAGAAATTTTTACATCCTGCTAACGACCCATCCAGTTAATGTACACATAAGTTAACTTGGATGTAAGTTTCTTCAATAATTCACTAAACCACCATTCTTTTTCGTAAGTCATTACAATTACTCCACATCATTTTTTCCCCCTCTATTTAATATTATCCCCTTTTCTTACCTACTCTCTACCTATACACTTTGATTCATCTTTGATACCCCTCCTCCCCTCCTCCTTGCATAGTCATCTTCTTGCACTCACTTATCTCTTACCTCAAAAATGCAGCCTCCTACATGCTAAACATTTCCATATTTTTTTCACTAAACAACCTTTTGACATTTACTATACACAACTATACACTTCTAAACACAAGCTTCACAATGCTTCTAAACACAAGCTTCACAATGCTTCTAAACACAAGCTTCACAACACTTCTAAACACAAGCTTCGCAACACAAGCTTCACAATGCTTCTAAACACAAGCTTCACAACACTTCTAAACACAACCTTCACAATGCTACTAAACACAAGCTTCACAACACTTCTAAACACAACCTTCACAACACTTCTAAAGACATGCTTCACAACACTTCTAAACACAAGCTTCACAATGCATCTAAACACAACCTTCACAACACTTCTAAACACAAGCTTCACAACACAAGCTTCACAATGCATCTAAGCACAACCTTCACAACACTTCTAAACACAAGCTTCACAACACAAATATCACAACACTTCTAAACACAAGCTTCACAACACAAGCTTCACAATGCATCTAAACACAAGCTTCACAACACAACCATCACAACACTTCACAACACAACCATCACAACACTTCTAAACACAAGCTTCACAACACAACCTTCACAACACTTCTAAACACAAGCTTCACAACACAAGCTTCACAATGCATCTAAACACAAGCTTCACAACACAACCATTACAACACTTCACAACACAACCATCACAACACTTCTAAACACAAGCTTCACAACACAAGCTTCACAATGCATCTAAACACAAGCTTCACAACACAACCATCACAACACTTCTAAACACAAGCTTCACAATGCATCTAAACACAAGCTTCACAACACAAGCTTCACAATGCATCTAAACACAAGCTTCACAATGCATCTAAACACAAGCTTCACAATGCATCTAAACACAACCTTCACAACACAAGCTTCACAATGCATCTAAACACAAGCTTCACAACACTTCTAAACGCAAGCCTCACAATGCTTCTAAACACAACCTTCACAACACTTCTAAACACAAGCTTCACAATGCATCTAAACACAAGCTTCACAATGCATCTAAACACAAGCTTCACAACACAAGCTTCACAATGCATCTAAACACAAGCTTCACAACACAAGCTTCACAATGCACCTAAACACAAGCTTCACAACACAAGCTTCACAACACTTCTAAGCACAAGCTTCACAACACAAGCTTCACAATGCATCTAAACATAAGCTTCACAATGCATCTAAACACAAGCTTCACAATGCATCTAAACGCAAGCTTCACACCACTTCTAAACACAAGCTTCACAACACTTCTAAACACAAGCTTCACAACACAAGCTTCACAATGCATCTAAACACAAGCTTAACAACACAAGCTTCACAATGCATCTAATCACAAGCTTCACAATGCATCTAAACACAAGCTTCACAACACAAGCTTCACAATGCATATAAACGCAAGCTTCACAACACTTCTAAACACAAGCTTCACAACACTTCTAAACACAAGCTTCACAACACAAGCTTCACAATGCATCTAAACACAAGCTTCACAACACAACCATCACAACACAACCATCACAACACTTCTAAACACAAGCTTCACAATGCATCTAAACACAAGCTTCACAACACAACCATCACAACACAAGCTTCACAATGCATCTAAACACAAGCTTCACAACACAAGCTTCACATTGCATCTAAACACAAGCTTCACAATGCATCTAAACATAAGCTTCACAATGCATCTAAACACAAGCTTCACAATGCATCTAAACACAAGCTTCACAATGCATCTAAACACAAGCTTCACAACACAATGCATCACAACGCAAGCACAATTAGGTGAGTACAATTAGGTGAGTACAAGCTTCACAATGCATCTAAACACAACCTTCACAACACAAGCTTCACAATGCATCTAAACACAAGCTTCACAACACTTCTAAACGCAAGCCTCACAATGCTTCTAAACACAACCTGCACAACACTTCTAAACACAAGCTTCACAACACAAGCTTCACAATGCATCTAAACACAAGCTTCACAATGCATCTAAACACAAGCTTCACAACACCAGCTTCACAATGCATCTAAACACAAGCTTCACAACACTTTTAAACACAAGCTTCACAATGCATCTAAACATAAGCTTCACAATGCATCTAAACATAAGCTTCACAACACAAGCTTCACAATGCATCTAAACACAAGCTTCACAATGCATCTAAACGCAAGCTTCACAACACAAGCTTCACAATGCATCTAAACGCAAGCTTCACAACACAAGCTTCACAATGCATCTAAACACAAGCTTCACAATGCATCTAATCACAAGCTTCACAATGCATCTACACACAAGCTTCACAATGCATATAAATGCAAGCTTTACAACACTTCTAAACACAAGCTTCACAACACTTCTAAACACAAGCTTCACAACACAAGCTTTACAATGCATCTAATCACAAGCTTCACAATGCATCTAAACACATGCTTCACAATGCATATAAACGCAAGCTTCACAACACTTCTAAACACAAGCTTCACAACACTTCTAAACACAAGCTTCACAATGCATCTAAACACAAGCTTCACAATGCATCTAAACACAAGCTTCACAATGCATCTAAACACAAGCTTCACAATGCATCTAAACACAAGCTTCACAACGCATCTAAACACAAGCTTCACAATGCATCTAAACACAAGCTTCACAATGCCTCTAAACACAAGCTTCACAACACTTCTAAACGGAAGCCTCACAAACAACACAAACTTTGAGTCGTTGATGAGGCGGGCGAGAGTGTGGAGGAGGATGTCAACAGTGAGGGCGTCCCAGGCGAGAGTGAGTCCCACTCCGGCGTCCGTGACAAACATTGCATTCCTGGGCTGGTCGTTGCTGATGGGGAGGACGAGGAGTGGCGTGGCGTGGTAGATGGCCTCCAGCATGCTGAACATGCCGCCGTGGGTGATGAACACCTTCACCCTGTGGTGGGCTGAGGCACAGTATTAGCCTACTTACTGCTAGGTAAACAGATGCACCAGATAAAATGAATCATTGCCCCAATGTTTCTGTCCTTACAGGAATTGAACCCGGGAGGGAGGAAATTATCAGGGGGAAATCGCCAAGCCATTAGACTATATAACACTTGGAAGGGGTCAGGATAAGGATTTGGGATAGGACGGAGGGGAGGAATGGTGCCCAACCACTTGGACGGTCGGGGACTGAACGCCGACCTGCATGAAGCGAGACCGTCACTCTACCATCGAGCCCAAGTGGTTGGACGATAGAGTGACAATTATAATAATAATAAAGAAAACATTATACAATATATATTGTGTATGCATTTCTATAATTATAAAGTATACACGACGATGCTCGGGTCACACTACAGACCTCCACTACACACTATCTTCCTCGTTAACTTACAAGTACTTGGACTCACCAAGAATATCCTGCTGGGGGAGCCAATTGCTGATCATTACGTTATCGGGGACGTCCTCCAGTTCTTCCTCATACTTCCAGATGACTCGCTGGGGTAGTCTTCGGAAAGCCTGGAGGAAGAGGTCGCGGTACTGGCTTGGTATGTTCTTCCCTCGTATGAAGGAGCCGAGAGCGAAGTAGATAACTCCGGCGGATCCCGCACCTGTGATCCACGACTCCAGCTCCTGTAAAATATTTTTTACTGAACCAGCTTTTTGTCTGCCGGAAAGCTCTGTGTTCTAATTCTCGGTAACTTTCCCTAGACACAGGAACACTTTTAATATTTTGAAAGGCAAAATGAAGTACAGAAAGATGCAAATTGTATCTTTCACTGTATTATAACATTAAACACTTTCGAATATAATCACAGCTGTGTTCGGAAATTGAAATTAATTAACGGTTGCAAATTTACACTCTACGGCAGTACTCACCTAATTGTGCTTGCGGGGGTTGAGCTCTGGCTCTTTGGTCCCGCCTCTCAACCGTCAATCAACAGGTGTACAGCTTCCTGAGCCTATTGGGCTCTATCATATCTAACTTGAAGCTGTATATGGAGTTAGCCTCCACCACATCACTTCCTAATGCATTCCATTTGTCAACCACTCTGACACTAAAAAGGTTCTTTCTAATATCTCTGTGGCTCATTTGGGCACTCAGTTTCCACCTGTGTCCCCTAGTGCGTATGCCCTGTGGTGTTTGTGTGTTGCCGAGGAAGTCTTGGTTGTAGGGTTGATATAAAGTCATGGCTTGGTTACTGACTTTAATACTTATAAACGATTACATGACTAGCTGCTTCCAAGCTGGTAGCGTCCTGTACGCTCTCTGTTTACCTTCCCTCGGCGTCTGAGCCGCAGCACATAGAAAACGGATGGTACCGTTTTCTGTGAACATGACATCCCTCCTTTTCTTTAAAAAGAATGAATACAGGATGTCTACCATGCTTGTAGCACAAAGCAAAGTTATTGACACAAAGTAAGTTATTAACATATCAAGAGATATTGCATACATTTAACATTAATTAAGCACACAAAGAATTTAAACAACTTAATCTTTACCACAAAGGATTTCAATGTTAAAAATACATATGCAATGTTAAACAAACATGAAAGAAACTGTAATACAAGGTTATAAAATATTGAATGAGAAATCTGCATTATTCAAACAATATTAAATTTAGTTTAGCATAATAAGTAAATACTTTGCATTACATAGGAACACAATTAATCATCAAATCGTGTAGGGCGTTTAACATGACGTTTAGCACGAGAGTCCCCAAATATAAGAACATCCCTTGATGAATTGTTTATTGAGTTATAACTTATTCTTCTTTTTCTTTTGCACGACTTTGCACTTCATCATTTTCTACACTAGTTGGAATCACTTTGAAATAGGCCATATTACGTGTTATACTATGATCTCTATTACTCGCTGTTACCATAGTTCCTTTTACACTAATCACTTTACATGGTTTTGTATCATACGGCATATCTAGCTTTCCCTCTTTTTTCTTTTTAACTAGAACAGTATCTCCAATCTTTATGAATTGTTCCTTTGCACGTTGATCATGAGCAATTTTCATTTTGCCCTTGACTATTGCATCCTTCTGAGCGAGACGTTTATCCGTTATCATGGCTGGCATGACAAGTAGTGCGATTCTCATAGGACGTCCAAATAAAAGTTCGCCTGGCGACTTGCCCATTGTTCCATGCGGTGCTGCACGGTAGTTCCTCAGAAAAGCATACATAGTTTGTTTCCAGGATCGTCCTTCGGCATGAGCACAGCGTACCGCTTTCATGAGAGGCTGCATGAATCTCTCGACTTCTCCATTTGCTTGAGGATGTAGTGGCATCACACGGCGGTGTTTGAATCCAATATGCTCAGCAAAGTTGACGAAGTCTTGTCCATTGAATGGCGGTCCATTGTCCGTCTTGACAACTTCGGGAATGCCAAAGTTTGAAAAGATCTTGTCGAGTTTCGGGATGACAGCCTTTGCAGATGTGGAAGTGATGATTTCTACTTCTGGATAACGTGAGTGATCATCAATGACTATCATCAAGTACTCTCCAGTTGGTAGCGGTCCGCAGAAGTCCATCGATACTTCCGTCCATAGTGCAGCAGGTAGTGGTGAAGGTTGTAGAGGTGTTGGTCTTGAAGTATCCACTGCAGCTTGGCAAGGGACACAGGCATCTATGCATGTCCTTTGCTTGACGATCAATGCCAGGAAACCACACCTTTTCTCGTAGCAGCTGTTTGGTCCTAACAAGACCTTGGTGTCCTTGATGTGCAAGCTTCAGAGCACGTTGCTGGAGAACAGCTGGAATGACGATACGAGTACCTCGCAGCACGGTGTTGCGTAACACTTAATTCTGTCTGGATGCGTTGAAGTGCTTTGAATGCATCTTAGTCAACTCCTGAGGGTGGGATGCGTGGAAACTTTTTTTTAGTCAATGTATCCACTGTTGCTTGCAGAGTTGGGTCCTCTAGGGTTGCAGTACGGATTTCAGAAAGAGTGAGAGCCTTAGGGACTGCATCACAGGTTACAGAGTGTACATATTCCTCGGCAACTTGAATTACATCTGGGTTGATGTGCAGATGAACTTTGCTATCAGTAGAACAATCCATTGGTTCAAATCGATCAAAAAATTCAGCAACAATACCATCAACATTGTTTGCAGATTCCACTGCTACAGCATTAGAAGGCTGAAGTAGCCCCAATTTGGTTGAAGTCTTGTAACTGAGTGGAGACTCCTTTGCATTCCTAACAACATGGAATGTAGTAGTGAGCATTGCATTCTTTGACTTAATCTCTGCAGTGAAAGTTCCAATCACTGGCAAAGCTACCTTTGAACCATAGGCAGTGGCTTTGCCATTGTAGTTTTCAAGCTTTGGGAACTGTTTTTTAAATTTCTCATAGTGACACTCAGCAATGGTGTCAATATTTGATCCAGTGTCAATGAGAACTTTGAGACAAATACCAGTAATGTATACTATAGTCTCTGGGTTGCTTGGAAGATCATTCCATTCTGTGATTGCTTGTACTCCATAAGTGTAATCACATTCACTGTCATCTGAGACTGATTGTAATGAAATGTTGTCTTGTACATTATTAACATTTTGGATATGAGGTGCAATACTGTGTTTACCACCTCGACACCTATGACCCGATCCTCGTACAGTGCTTTTATTCACTGACTGTGGTTTCTTTAGTGCGGAACGACACATAGCACCAAAATGACCTAGTTTACCACACTCATAGCACTTCTTACCTTGAGGGGGCATATCGTTTTAAATCGTTATAAATTAAAAGTTGTTCAATTTGCTTATAAATTTATTTATGAAATGGTTATAGAAAGGGCTGCAACTGGTCCAAGTTTCACCATCACACCCTAAACAGAAAAGGAGAAAAAAATACACAACGTATTATGCAACGAATGTTCAACATTCTCAAATAATCTCAGGGAACACATGTGTCAACTAAAATGTCTACTATGTGCTGTAGAAGCACAAACTCTTGTAATAATTGTAATATGTATGTGCAATATATTTATATGTAATTTTTTTTTTTTTTTTTTTTTTTGCCAATTTTTTTTTTCGTTTCTTATCAAGGGATTTGCATGAAACCTGCACACCTTGCTCAATGGATGCCTATCTGCAAGGGTGCCAATTATGAACGAAATCTGTCGAAGTCAAGCTCAGCTACAGGTGGCCGAACTTTTGATCTTTATTTTACTCAGGAAAGTAATTTACAACTTCAAAGTACTTCATAACTTTCATTTATTAATCAATTTACATGTAAATTACACCTTATATGTAGAGTTTGTGCTTCTACAAACCGTAGTAGACATTTTAGTCCAAAGTCCATTTGTTGATTTTATAAAAATTTATAAACATCATATATTGCATATTTTTGGAAGGGTAACTTTGAAAAATTATATTATTGCACTAAACACTTTATTGATAAAATTGATCACTACAATCCTTTATTATGTGCTAATTTTAATATCTGAGTGTTATAGAAATGATTTTAGTTGACACATGTGTTCCCTGAAATTATTTGAAAATGTTGAAAATTCGTTGCATAATACGTTGTGTATTTTTTTTCTCCTTTTATGTTTAGGGTGTGATGGTGAAACTTGGACCAGTTGCAGCCCTTTCTATAACTAATTCATAAATAAATTTATAAGCAAATTGAACAACTTTTAATTTATAACGATTTAAAACGATATGCCCCCTTGAGCAGGACAAACATTATCTTGGTGTGGGTAGTCTCCTCCACAATTGTAACATTTATTGTTGACACCTTCTGATGTGGGTCGTTGTGACTGCTTGAGTCTTGTTCCTTGACCCCATTTGTGATGTGGCTTTCGGGTCAATTTGATGTTAGGTTTGCCATGATATCTTCTTTGATCACGGTGTCCTCCCTGAACCTTAAGTACCTCAACACTGTTAGTAACAGTGGCAGAACCGTTGTTGGCACTGCATTCCATGACACGAGCATCACGTGCAGCATCTTTCATTCGACGAGCAATATCCAGTATCTTGGTAAGAGAACTTTCATCATTAACAAGTTCTAGAGCTCTTCGACGGAGACGTGTAGATGTGCATGTTTCAATTATTTGCTGTTTGATTTCTTTGTCAACATCAGCAAACTCACAATGGGCTGCTAAACCCTGCAGACGTGTGTGGTATTGATCCACAGTTTCATTAGAAATTTTTGGCTCTCCTGAAATGCATAATTTCCATTGCAGTATTTTGTCTTGGTTTGAAGTGCTCAGTTAATTTGACTTTGGCAGTGTCATAATCTTTGGCACCACCAGTGTCTTTCAGTGTGTCAAAGATGTCACAAACTCGATCACCTACATAATGAAGTAGAAAGGCACGCTTTCTTGCAGCACTTTTGATATCTGAAACTATCAACAAATTTTCAAACCTTTTAAGCCATTTGGTCCACCTTTGTGACAGGTTTGTCTGGTCACAGTCAGGATCAAATGCAGGAAACTGAGGTATATTTGCCATTTTTACTGAATAAATGTAAACTTATCACTTAAATGTTCCTCAGAATGCTAAACACTTACTGCGCTGTATATGTTAGTTAAGAATTCACTGTAATTACTTTAATTTTGCAAAGCACACAAGCATTTTAATGCAAAAGTTCACAGCAGTGCACAACACAGCAGCAACTGAC